ATAAACTATAATAATAAACAGAGTAACAGAAGTACTCTTTAATAAACTATAATAATAAACACAGTAACAGAAGTACTCTTTAATAAACTATAATAATAAACAGAGTCACAGAAGTACTCTTTAATAATAAACACAGTAACAGAAGTACTCTTTAATAAACTATAATAATAAACACAGTAACAGAAGTATTCTTTAATAAACTATAATAATAAACAGAGTAACAGAAGTACTCTTTAATAAACTAACATCCGTCTGGTACGAGGCAGACATCAGAGGACAGAACAGAGCTGATAAAAAGGACTGTCCTCTACAGAGAAATGATATTATTGAACTTTTTAATATCTGACATGAACAGAAGTTTCTTTATAAACTATTTAAGGTGTATATTTGTTTACATACGGAGGACCATGAATGAAACTGAGTTCAGCTCTTCTCTCTGATGGATGAAGTTTTCTTGTTATCCCTAAAATAAATTCTGTTTTTCTTTTTTGTCTTTTCACTTTTCTTTCTTCATCTTATTTATGTTTCTGTTTATTTTTCAACAAGCAAAAGAGAAGAAGAGCGACTGTATGAGTGACGTGTAGGATGAGTGTTAATGTCTGTAAGTTTATGTCTAAATTCACATGAAAATGGAAAAGAAGATAAAGACCCCAGGAAGAGGAGTTACTGCAGATGTTGGATCCAAAATAAAACAAATATATGTGTTACTATTCATAAGAAACAACAAGACAAATTCATGTCTTCATTCAGATCGAGAGGTCCAACAGTAAAGGATGTAAAGAGTTTTTAAACCCCGTCACCGTCTCTCTACAGCGCCTCAAATCTGTATAATTAATAACAACGTACGAATAGGAACAGTAAGATAAGATAAGTCAGAGCAGAGGTTACCCAAGACGACTTAATGAGTAACTCTGAGGACGTCTCAGTGATCGGCTGACTCAGGAAAGAGACCGGATTATTGTTCCTGAGCTTTAATATGAGGAGGTTTTTACAGGGAGAAGTTAAGACCCTTTAAAAACAGAAAATAAATACAAGTAAATCAGACACACACACACTAACACACACGCACACACACGCACACACACACACACACACACTAACACGTGTTATCCATGAGATAAGGGAGCAGGAGCTCAGCTGGTGAGAGCTGCTCTCGTGGCCTCTGGAGGATTTCTGCTTTTCATTGCAAAGTAAGAGGTGGAGCAAACAAAGGTGTGTCTACCCCGCAGGTAAAGGCACACACACTCACACAATTACACCATGGTTACTTGAGCTACAGTGACACAGTGGAGGCAGAACCATGGATTAGCCTTTGGAAGTATGAGTTCAGCTTTTCGTGGCTCCAGTTCTTCTCTGCGGGGCAACTGGAGTCAAATGAAACTCCGTTATCGAAAAGCCTGGAGATGTTCGTGTCCTCTAAGTCCTGGGATGTTTCCTCCTCTGTGACGATTCTGTAAGGGCGACAGCTGACATCTGTGACAGGAAGGTAACAGCATGAAGGAGAGTGGCTCTACCAACGGGGGACAAAGGTGTGTTTACCTTTTTAATTCTGGTTTTATGAACCGATTCTGAGTGAGACGGAAGAAAAAAAGGGAAGAAGAAAGAGGCTGTTAGTGACGGAGGAAGCATCCCAGTTTGATGGGAACAGAGTGGAAACAACACGACAGCCTGTGATGGTCAGGAGAGAAATATTATGAGAGTCTGGTTAGTTTTACAAGAGTGAAGATTATGATAATTATGATAACAACTAAACACGCCTTAACGGCTGAGCAATCAAAGGTAAAGTGCAGTCAGAGTAAAACCGCCCCTGAGATTTGTCCTGAAAACTAACGGAAAGAGAGGTGTGTGTGAAGTGGTTTAAGAAGTTTAAGAGAAGTTAAAGAAGTTAAAGAAGTTAAAGTGCAGTCAGAGTTTAACCACCCCTGAGATTTATCCGAGGTAAAAACAGACTAAAAAAGTGGCGTGTGTGAAGTGGTTAAAGAAGTTTGAGAGGTTAACCACTTAAATTTCTTTAACCTCTTCTTAAACCTCTTTGACCACTTCTTTCACCAGTTTAACTTCTTTAACCACTAAAACCACTTTTCCTTTTTTAACCACATTTTCTTTAACTTCTTTGAAGAGGTTAAAGTGGTTAAAGAAGTTAAAGTGGTATAAGAAATGTCTCAGGTGGTCAAAGACGTGGTTAAAGAGGTTGAATAAGTTAAAGTGGTTTAAGAAGTTAAAGTGTTTAAAAAAGTTAAGGCGTTGTTTAAAGAGGTTAAAGAGCGGTTAAAGAGCGGTTAAAGAGGTAACGCTGAGAAAGGAGAGGTGTAGTTGGAGCTGGTACATGTTTCTGCCTCTTGATCTTATCTTATCCAACACGGCTACAGCTGTCGTTTGGTTTTATGATTTCCATGTTTCACAGTCACCTCATTGTCATCAGAGTTTTTTTTCATGACCACTTCCTCCTAACATTGTTCAGTTATTTATTACTGTCTTATTTTGTTCTGAATGTGGCTCTAATACTCCAAATTTACTGCAGACATAAGTCAAAGAATGTCAAAGTTTATTCTGAAGTCAAAAGAGGAAATTAAAGACGATGTTGGGAAGGAGCTGCAGTGTATAATAACCTCCATACATGAAGGGTAATATGCTCTTAAACCAGGACCCAGGAGGGTCTCCTTTACTGGTCTAAGAGTGAAGTACAAACGTCTTTATTTACTTGGTAGAAGCTCAGAACAACTGTCAACAGGACTTATGAAAAAATCCAGTCCTGGTATTAACCTTTGAAAGTTCATAAAACATCCTGGAATAATTACTGATGCTTTTGAACCTGCGACGAACAGAGTGACTGTTTGTTTTTAATGTTTGACGCCACCGTCAGGAACAAGTGTCAGACTTTCCACACAAAAACCTCCATGAGTGATCGATCGATCCGGGTGATTAAAGGTGACATGTTGTTTTTCTGACACATGAACACATGAGCATTTTTCCACAGTGGGCTCCAAAACAACACAGACCTTGAGTTTCTCACAACAGCGTCAAACTACGTCTCATTTGGACAAAGTCATGAATGAAGGTAGATGATGAACGTAAACATGCAGAACAACATCTACGCAGCATGAGCAGGTAAAACCTCCTCTTAGAGAGAAAAAGAGAGAAACCTCCAGTAGAACTGGTTAGGCTGGGGAGGGGGTTGGATGGAAACAAACAAAAAAGGGGGTAGAGTGACATTCACTGAATGTATAGGAAGGGAGGGGGTGGAGGAACAAAAGACAGACAGATAGAGACTGAAAACATCTGAAATGGGACAAAGTTACGACGGAGTATCAGGGTCACGTTAAGAAAAAAAATTAAGACTTATCAATTATTAACGAGAATAAAGTGTTAAAGTAAATATCGTCTTAGATCTGCTTTAGTGGAGGAGTAAATGTCTGAACTGGTCACCTGCAGAGTTCTCTGCGGGTTCATCAGCAGGTCATTCAGAGAGTTTTTGTTGTTCCTCAAGAAAAAATCCAACTGATGATCAATATTTACGATTCAGAGGGAGTCGAGCTCCGACGAGAACCGCGTCTGTCTCTGATGTCGGCACAACACCAGCAGGAACCTCCACCTGCAGAGGCACCAACACCTTTTTATGGTGAACAGATTCATACGATAAACTAAAGACGTATAAACTAAAGTTATAAACGGCTGATTGAGGGATTGAACCTCTGCAGACATTTACAGACGTTTCCCCCTCCTCAAAAACAGAGATTCCCTACAAGTCCGCCCGGTTCTTTCTGAATTTCTTCATATGTCCTGATTCTTCTGACCGTGTGATTCTGAAGGGATTTATTATCTCCTTGTTTGTTTGTTTCTACTGAAGTTCAATTCATCGAAATGTTCCACAGCGCTCGTTTCAACAACTAACAACAGGTCAGAATATTAGCCACGACTTTATTCTCATAAGAAATTACGACGTCTTATTTTTTTTTTCGTAATGTGGCCCTAATACTCCACCGTACAAAGAACACCAACGAAAAGTAAAGGACAAAAAATAGAGAAGCTGATAGATGGAGGAAAACCTGCAGGACAGGAGAGCTCAGGGACTCTCAGAAAGAACTGGGACTCGTTAGGCTAGTTCCACTGACAGTCCAGGTCAGACCACATGATCCCTCACAACAGTCCCGGTGTCAGATTTGGTGACCACAGAGACATGAATCAAATCCAGAGGAAAGCAGGGATCCACGACCTGAAGTAACTTTCTTTCTGTTTCTATCTATTTATCACAGATTAAAAACTGTGAAAGGAGGGAACAGAGGAGGCACAGGGTGCAAACAACAAAGTAACTCGGATAAAGACGGTTATAAATATACAATGATAAAGAAAAGTCAAAACAGATACAAACTGATGATCAACCAGAGAGACAGACAGAGAACGACGAGTTTAAGACATTTAATGATATTTTAAAGGATTTGAAGGATAATATTAAGTTTAGAGATCCATCCAGATCGTTCCGTATTTCTGACGTTAGACTGATGACTAGAAGTTCAACAGGAAGGAAACTGAAGATGGTCGTTTTGTCGTGTTGAGTTCGGGTGAAGGTTCGATGAAAAGTTTCAGGAAGGTTTGGTTTGTTATTGATGAACTTGTAGACAAACAAACGAGAGTGAAAGACACTGAGTTTGTCAGAAGAGCGGAGCAGAAGGTTCATGTCTGCTGGATGGAGATTTTATTCTGAAGAATCTTTTCTGGATTATTCATATTTTCTTTGTATAATATTATAATAATATAATAACTGAACTTCATCAGTGTTTTCCTCACCTCTGTTACCGTGTTTTTGTTATTTCTCAGTGACACATACTGACTCTTTGTTCTTCATCACTGTATCCCACAGTCTTCCTCTCTGTCACGGCGCCGTGGATGGCGGTAAAACGACCAACAGCAGGAGATGCTGCAGCTTGTCCCGACGGAACTTCCTCTTTTTCATTCTGGTGTTTGCAGCAGTTTTGTTTTTCTACAACACCAGAGTCACAGAGATGTCCTCTGATTGGCTGATGCGCTATAACACAACAACATGGAGGACACCGTTTACAGCGCCGCCACCCTCTGCTCACAGGTTTAAAAGCAAGGAGAGCTCGCCAACGGTGAAGGACTCAACCAGTGTGACCAGTTCAAGTGTGACCAGTTTAAATGTGAGCGGTCCAAATGTGACCAGTTCAAATGTGACCGGTCCAAATGTGACCGGTCCAAATGTGACCGGTCCAAGTGTGACCACGAACAAACCCGAGCCGCCAACACCAATTCCTTATAAATCTCCAGGACCGTACTTGGTGGAGTACCCCTACGAGTACCACTACACCATCAACGAGCCAAACAAATGTCAGCAGAACAAACCCTTCCTGGTTCTGATGGTTCCAGTGGCGCCCAGCAACAGGGCTCACCGGGACATCATCCGCAGCACCTGGGGAAACGAGAGCCTGGTCCAGGGCAAAGCGGTGCAGCTGTTCTTCTTACTGGGGCAGCACAGCGGGGAGGGGGCAGAAAAGCTCCAGGAACAGCTGCTACAGGAGAGCAAGGAGCATGGAGATCTGATCCAGAGCACCTTCCTGGACTGCTACAAGAACCTGACCATCAAGACCATGGTGATGATGGAGTGGGTGGACTCGCACTGCTCCGGGACCTCGTACGTCATGAAGATCGACTCGGACATGTTTCTGAATGTGCCCAAACTCATCAGCATGCTGCTCAACTCTCCAAAGACAAACTACCTGACCGGACTGGTGGCAAGAGGAGCTGCTGTCCTCCGGGATCGAAGATCTAAGTGGTACCTTCCAGCATCTATTTATCCCAGACAGTATTACCCGCGGTACGCTCTGGGTCTGGGATATGTGTTTTCTGTGGACATGGCTAAAAAACTGGTGGAGGCATCCAGACACGTGAAAGCTGTTTACATCGAAGACGTGTACGTGGGACTGTGTATGCAGCACCTGAACATACCCCCCACTGACCCTCCGAATTGGGGTTTCTTCCATGTTTTTCCTATGAAGTACAGTCGCTGCGCGTACTCTAAACTCATCGCCACCACAACCAACAAACAGATGGACCGAGTCTGGGCTTGGAAGGACTTTAAAAAACCGGGACCACCCTGCTAAACCTCGACATACTGGGAAATGTGCAGAAAATAAATCCAAAGAACTGTGAGATCAGGTCGACCTTTTGCACTATTCCGACCTGACTCTAAGGCTGTGAAGGTCGTTTTAATCGTTGTGTCTAAATGTGACTGGGCAGAGATGTTCTGAAGGTTCGAGGGGAGAAGCTCTAACAATCAACACCAACGAACTCTCGAGAGGTCGAATTTTCAGAGAGGAAGACAAGGTTAACCGCTACCAATAGATGCTTTGATTTGAAAGGTTTGTTTTCATCTGTTTACATTTATAAATCAACCTTTTTACCTCCAACGTTACTGTTACCCCCGACCTCCACCTTCATCCTGATCGTCTCCTAAAAGGTCGTATCCTCCGATCGTAGCTGATCGTAACCATTCAAGTTAACGTGTCAATTTACACCGACTTCTTTCCGTTCCTCTGCGGATCGCCGGACTCCTCAGCTGATCACAAGAGTTCTATTTTTTCTGGACGCCGGAGCATGGCGGATAAATTCAGCACAGATTAACCCGTGCTGGAAAGGAAGTCGGGCACAGACACAAAATAAAACATCATAGAACATAGAAGTCTAGAAGTAGATTTCCTCCTCTGGAAGGACACAATCTACTGCTTATATGTCTATGTGTCTGTCTTTAGAGAGACAACTCGTTATCGTACGATTGAACGTGAATCTGAGGGTTCTTGTGAGTTCTTATGATTCCTGCTGTCCGTAATCCGTTCCGGATGCGGTGAAAATTGGGGGTTAGACGACCGAGTGGTCTCTGTTTTACTGACTGATAGTGGTGTGTCGGTCTTGAACGAACGGATCAAAAGAACTGGTTCTTTTTGGGGAACGAAATGAACGAGGTCACCCCCCCTAAATGACCCGTTCAGTTCTTTTGATTGGCTGAAGAGTCAGTTCACTGTTCCTTAAGGCGGGACTATCTCCGTGCTTGCCTGTCTTATCCTATCATCGCGCCTCGCTCTGTGTGTGGGTGGGGCTTAGAGAAGCAGCAGCAGTACTGCCGAATTGACTGAAAGACCCGGACCGATGACCGACTCGGTCTCTGTCTTTTCAGTCAGCTCAGCGAGGTGCTGTCAGCCTGTCACCAGCCGACCGACTTGTGAACGCGACGGGATGTACTGAATAAAATAAACTATAAGGCAGTCTCCTGCGGGGGTTATCTGTACTCAGGAGTCCAACAAACCGTGCCGCGGCCGCCGCACGAGCGAGCGGGACAGTCACACACACACGGGCACACAGCTGCTGCTGCAGCCAGAGGCAGACAGACAACGAACAGACTGACTAACAACCGACTGACCGAAATGAACGAGTCTTTTTACTGAACGACCCGGAATGATCCGGTTCACTGAAATGAACGGTTTTGCCCAC